AGGATAGTCTGAAAAATCCATATAATCGTTGATTTCTTTGAAGTCCTCATATAAATCATCAGTATCAACTTTAATGACATAACTATCAGTGTCGGTATATACTAACTTAATATCATCATTATATTTTGGTTTCAGGACATCATAATAGAAACTATACATGTGGATTTTTGAATGATCCAAAATTGCCATACCCATATAAATTGGTTTATTCAGTTCTACTGTGTGCTTCTCCTTTTCAACTCCTACAAGGTTCTCATTAATAATGTGCCTATTTTTGTAGGTTGGCTTATTCACTAACTTTTGAAATCTAATAGGATTATCAACCAATTCAAAATCTATGTGCTTTCTAACATTTTCCATTGTCTTACCATATACTGAATTATTCATTAATTTAAACAAATCCTTTTCAAAATCGTGTTTTGCTTGTTTTCTCTTTTCAGTGTTAAATTCAATGAATGGCTTTAGAAAGTCTGACTGGTTAAAACTAATTACCCTATGGACTTTCTTTAGTTTCAATCCATGTTGTAAATAGAATTAAGGCCGACATGTGTAATACATATTTCTTTTTGCCCATTACATTTAATATCAACTTGTTAGTTGTTTCATCAGTTGCTTCTTTTTCGTAAAAGTGTTTGTGGATGTCCTTTTGAACATTTGAAAGCATGTTATCATTTACTGTCATAATTTCAGGCGCTAATGGGTAGTCCTTGTGTAAGTCATGTAATTCCTTTGGATATTCTAAATCAACTTCAATATAAAGCCTATATCATCATCATCATTGTATTTCATTACTTTCTTCTCATCAATTTTGGTGTAGTGCCATTTAAATTTTTTGTATGGTAGTTTCTTACACATTGCTAAACCGTATAGGTTATTAGCATCCAAATAACTTATATAGCTTGATGGTTGTGTTTTGTCATGTTCTTCATTCATGTATTTATTGTTTGCTACTACTTGCTTGTATGAGCACTGGGTCATCCCTCCTCTCAATCCATTCTCAATCAACTCATACATATCTTTATTATGTATTTGTTCAAGGCTGATGCCTGTTTTATGTAAAAAAGTATTCCAACTGTAATTAGGTAGGGTGATATAATGGGCTGGGTCTAAGCCGTAAAAGTTTAAACACATATCCCTAAAGTTTTCAAAAACATCAGTCAATAAATAAACATCAGTCATCAAATACAAATCGTGATATTCACCGAGATTGTTTATGTTAAAATGTGTCCATATAATGTTTGCTCTTGTATAGTCTTTGTCAGTAATATGTTCTTCGTATAAATGACTGTAAAAGTCTTCTTTCTTTGGTAGTTGTTCTTCATTGAATTTATTGAATGAGTTCATGTAATCATAAGGATACTCAGTCAATAAATCTAAATCAGTTTTGTTTTGAATATACGGGTTGGTGTTTGTATATCTAAAGTTGTTCTGCCAATCTTTGATTTTTTCATTGTTGTCATATTTGTTTAATTTTACTAACTTATCCACTGAAGCAGATAGAAAAGCAAAACTGTCCTTGAACTCACATTTACCAAAAGAAAAGGTAATAATGTTTTCCGAATTTTGGGCTATTACACTAATCTTTTTGTTTGGGTTAAGTTCTTGGTTCAGTTCATTAGCCTTTTCAATTATCAAGTGGGCATCGTAATTTTTGAGGTTATGAAAAAATACTGGAACTTTGAAAAACTTAAATGAATAATCCAAATTACATTTCTCATGAGCGGCGCCTCTGTAATGACCTGTAAAGTGGCAGTGGTCGCGAACTTGTTTATCCTCTTCTTTGAAGTGTTTATTACATATAGAGCACCTTGTGGCATTTCTAAATTCTAACTCCTGCTCATCTGATATAATCATTGGTTTATTTTCTTTCATCCTTTCAAGTATCTCATCTTTAATTGATGCCAGTTGTTCAACAAACTTATCCATACAATCTTCACCTCTGTAAATGCATGGAGTTGAAGACTTGTTAATTCTATCAACTACATTTAACATAAAACCGCATGGTTTATGATGTTGGTATGTGCCCTTTATGCCATCAGTGCTATTTGTTGTTAAGCATTCAAAATCTCCGTAAATAACAAAAGGGCACTCTAACTTAGTATTGATTTTTTCAAATTCAATGTGTGAGCCTTTCTTTGGTAATTTGATATGCTGACCTTCAATTGCTATACAACCTTTCTCAAGGTGTTCATTTAGAAACTCTTCATGAGTAAAAGGATGATGACAATGCCTACATATATGCTTTGGTTTTGTGTTTTTGTTTAGTTGCTTGTTTAACAACCTGCTCAAGTTTTTTATTACTACATAATGGCTATTGTTGCTGTCATCATCATATATTCTCAATAGGTTTATGTGGTGCTTGGCTTCTCTCACTTTGGTAGTTCTTACACTGATGACTTTGCCATCATTCAAAATGTCATCAACTTCATAAACATTGATTGGTACTAAGCTATGGTTATTATCTTCAAACCTATCAATGTCTCCATTACCAGTTGGAAATTGCACCCCTTCCCAGTTGAGTAAATCATCATTTAGTTTGTTACAGTGGTAAAGTTCTTCTGGGTGCTCTTTGTTAATCTTATCATAGACTACACACTGAACACAGTATTTGAAACATTTATTATTTTTGTTTTTGATATTGACGCATGCCTTTTTTAACTTGATGAACCTTGGTAAATCAATATAAAGGCCCGCTCTTGTTGGGTCATATTTATCATAATGTATTGCTATTTTGGTAATCTTTTTGAAAATAAGATTTGATTTTGATGCTTCAAGTTTTTCAATTTGTAATAAGACTTGCTTGACGCTGTCCTCTATTGCTTGTGTTAAGTCATCTTCATTATGAATATTAAATCTTGTTGATGGTAAATTGTAAAGTATTTCAAAATCTCCCTCTTCAGTCTGCTTCACAAATAACCCCTCACATCTAATATTCAATTTCATATTTCTATTGTTATTTAAGAATTCAAGTAATAAAGTCTTTTGGTATTGTATCATTGATAAGCCTTTCTCAACTTGATAATGTTTGTTAATCAGTGTTAAGTTATTGGCATAATTTTTGAATGCTGACTGTTTATTTTCAACCCTAAATTTGTTTCTAATTGCGTATTTGGTTAAGGCTTTCTTCATTCCAAGACTTAATGATATTTTCTTATGAGAATAACTCTGATATTCATTGGTTCTTTTAATGGTCTTCAACTTGTTTTGTAGTATGTTTGAAATTGGTTTATCCTTGTTGTATCTATATTTTCTACCATCTATGATTATTTGTTTCAATTCTTTCCTTCCCCTTTTTGGAATTTCTGCTATGTCATTTTTCAGTAAGTAATCAATAACATTTTTCATGACATAATACTATATATTTTATTAATACAAATATCTCTTTAAGTATTTTTAATTCTGGGAGTAGATACTTAAAGACATATTTATATAAATATATTAGTAAAATGTCAGACACTGAAAGTGAGACAACATATCAAATTACGAATTACGAAGATTTGGGCTGTGCTATTTACAGAGTTCTCAACAATTTTTGCTCTTGTGGAAGATGAGATGTTCTGTGATGATTGCTTGAAGATAACAAAATTATTACGGTTCAATCTTCAGAAACAAATTGCCATTTGAAATTGGTAAGGATGTAGCGTCAAATTTTAGATGTAAGCCATGTCAAAAGATGATTGAGGTTGTTAATTCAGCACCAAATTTCAACAAATATTCATTGTTTGAAATAGATTTTTTTTCTACACAAGGCTTCATAAGTTTCCAAAGCATGAAGTTATAAAAAATGAAATTATGAAAGGTTCAGAATGGCTTGACAGATATGACAATGATGATGAACAGAATGACAACCATTACAAGTATCAGGTGCTGTTTCAACTAATTTGCCATTTTGAAGATAAACAATACAATAATATTTTGTATGGAGATGGCTTTGGTTTTAGTTTATTGGACTATGTAAATGATTTATTTTTTAATGAGGAACTTGAAAGCGAAACAAGCGATGATGAAGATTTAAGCGATGGAGAGAGTGTAGGGAGTTATGAATGAAATTATTGAATAGTTGCTATAATTATTTAATTATTTTCTACCTACTGACCCATGCCCAACTTCCATATGATGTATCATTTATTGTTTATCCCCCTTCTTGTTGGTTCATTTGCTTTTTATTTGTTGTATTTTTCTGGGAGTATTTTATTTTTTCTTTACTTGTTTCATTTCTTGTTCCATGTCTTGGTTCTTCTGGTTTTGTCTTGTCATTTCTTGGTTTTGCTTGGTTCTTTTGTTTTTCTGTCTCATACCTTGGTTCTTTGGTTGATTTTGGTTAGTGTCTTCAATTTGTTTGGTGTTGAATTGTTGAGTTTGTATGCTGTTATTATGTGTATCTTTGTTTAGTTTTTTAGTTGTTTCATTTTCTGTTTTTCTTAGCCTGTTTCATTTTCTATTCCATATCTTATCATGTCATGTATTGTTGGGTGTGTCTTCAATTTCTTTGGTGTTCAATTGTTGAGTTTGTATGCTGTTATGATATGATTTTGGTTTTAGTCCCAGAAAATACATTATGGTAATTTCCCCCCCCAACTGAAGCTGACACGCTGAAAACGCTCAAGTTGGGCCCAAGTTCGTGCTAACTGGCCCGAGTTCAGCGCAAGTTAGGCCCAAGTTGGGCCCAAGGTGGCTCGTGTCCGGCCCAACTTAAGGCCAAGGACGGCCAAGTTTGACCCCAGCCAGCTTTGGTTGGACCAAGTAGGCCCGCTTCTTTCCTCTCTGTCCTATTCCCTGGTGCGGGCGGTACTCGTCGCGAAGCGACTCGAATATGACTAAAAATACTAAAATATATTAGGAAATATGTAATATATTGATGAAGAATGATGAAGATTAAGATAAGTTTGAAAAAAACCTAGTAGGGCTCCATGAAAATGCCAAAGACAGCCGAGTTCGGCGTTCAACAATTGAGCCATACCAAGCTGTTCATCGAGCTATAGCAGCACTAGCCAAGCCGCACAAGGAAGTCGCCGTAGATAGTTCAACTGCTGCAATTTCTTGGTCTCCTGAGCAAAACAAACACTGTTCAAACACTGAAAAAGTGAGAGTGAGAAGCAAAAGAGATTAAAAGAGTCTGCAGTGCGCAAATACGAGAATCTCCTTGTCGACTCTGGCCGTTCCAGCAGGACAAATGTTCTCCTTTTGGACCATGCACTCCTGGCCTTGGCTCTCGTCGGATGGAGCAAGGCTGGCAGATTTGAACTGAGGCGATGACGCGGTGAATGTCCTCTTCGCGATGATCTCCAAGGCTTTTTTGGCCTTGCAAGGGCCGGACTATTGGCTCTTGAAATTCTGCCTCAAGTTCTCATAAGCCAAACAACTATGGCACTGTAGTTCGGTCTGTGGTTCACCAACATGTCTGGGCGCCGGTGCACTGCGGTTTCATCGTGGAGGTTCGAGCTTCCATTTTCCATCTTGTCAAATGAGGCAGGCACTAGCGTATTAGACTCAAAGACATGACGAATAGAGAATTTTGTGTGATGGTCTGGAAGGAAACACCGAGTATATCCTCTTTCTTGGCAATCTTGTTCCGGCACGTGAGAACTGATGCTGCCGTGGTGTTGTTTCAAAGCAAGTTTTTCGTGGGAGGTGTTCTTGTCGGGCTGCCGCATGGATCCTGCCATTCTTTGCTTTGGATTCATGTTTGTCGGTAATGGTTTCACGGTGTTTGTCATGTTTGTCGGTTGCAAATCGCGCCAGGATTCTTGGTCTCTCCGGGCATCACCGAGTCCTCCGCTCACACCTGGCAAATCTTGCACCTCCACGCCAGCTTTCAAGGTCTGGTTGCCACAGTGTGAAACAATCCCTTTATAGAAATTGTTACTGCAAATGCTCAACTTCCAGAAATTCGATATGCGAGGATGCACTCGACGAAGCAGTCTACCACATGCTCTGAAGCATTCCAGCAGTCTCCTGGAGACTCTTGGCCTTCCGAAAGCACAGTTCGTGTTGCTGTGAATTCCCTGCCTTTCAGTCTTATGAGTCTTATGACACATTTTGTCGTTTTTGTGTGAGTCACCTTGCGGTCGTTCCCTCTGGTCCTTTCCATCGACTTCATTCCGTCTAGGTGTATCCTGCTTCAGCTTTGTGGATTCCTTCTCTGGCTGAAACCGCTCCCCACACGCAGCCGGACCAGTTTTCAAGCCCTGGGCAGGCTGGGCAGCCTGGGCAGCCTGACTCCTCATTCGGCTTGCCACTGTGCTCTTCATAAATTTCGCTCCAGGTTCTTCTGGGACTGAGGAAGTAAAAGGCTCTTCGGGTCGACCCAAACGCTGCCGTGTCTGCACCAAAGCTTGTGCCGAGCTATGTGCCGTTTTGTCTGTGACAGGGTTCACCGCTTGCAAGCAGAATCCGCACAACATCAAAAAGAGAAATGCCAGCGTGGAACTCTGCAAAGGGGTTGTTTCGTGCGATAGAGCTGAAGACCAAATTGCCACCATACCTGAAAGCACTAGCTGCATTGAATCCACTCCCCGGAAGTTTGGTGATCTGGTGTCCAAACCTGTCACAAGCAAGGCACCTACAAAGCAAAGAAGTGCCAGACTCGCTCGGAGCAGTCGCTCCTTGAGAGTGCAGGGAAGAGGCATGCCTCAGCACGAGGCAATCCATGGCAATGCATGACAATCGCAATTCATGGTGTGGTAAGGCAAATTAAGACAATCTTGCAACTCAACAGCAGGTTCCAGAGTTCCAGGGTTCCGAGATTGAAACCAGTTGGGAACAAACCAGGCACTTCACATGAGAGACCATGACTAAGCCATCAGCCGAAACAAACGGCTGCCAAGCATGCACTCGAAATGTTTTGCCTGCAGTCAGCAGTCATTTGGTGTGTCAGTTGGCAATGGTTTGGTTTCCAGATTTTGGAAGAAAAAATCATGCGAAATCCCACTCAGGTCCCGACCAGTTGTTGAACCCTCCAGCCCAAAGCCAAAGGACAATTGTTGCGTGTAGGCAGCTGAATGAGCACTTCCAAATAATTTTTAGCACCTAGGATATTCAGCGCGTGCGCGTGGGCGTGACGTGTGACGGAAGTACGCAATTTGAATGCATAAGCACCCTGTTGCATCTTCAGCCCCAAACAAAACCACGTGATTCAGTGCCAGAAGTCCGAGTGCTACCTACCTTGTTCCATAACATTGCAACGCTCACTTCCATCATGCAATTCAGCAAATCAAAATGAATGCCTGGTGAACTGAAATCCGAATGAAACCTTCGTATTTGTTTCAACTAGTGGCAATGAAAACTGTCCTTTTTCACAATTGTACATGTTTCGAAAAAACCGCCTGCAATATGGTGGCCAGCAAACATCCACTCAGGATGACCTAATCACAGTGCACCGACTGCACCATTCAAATTACACCATGGACCCCAAACAGTTTCCACAATTTCCTCACAAGGTCACCATGATGTTTGGTTCAAAAACTGCCCATTGCATTGCTGAATTGTCTGGATGCTAATAGCACGAATGAAGAACAAAAAAGAGAAGTGTAAATGAGTACATGTACTGTACTAAAATCCTTTCAGAATGAAACACCCAATTGCAACAAATCTCAATTGGGTACAATGTGATGTTCGTCCGCATGATTTATGTGCATGTTCCAACCGAAACAAAGTGAGACGAGGGTGTACTTTGGATGTTGGCACGAGCAAACATGGACAATTGAGCACAATCCAGGAAGCTGCGTATTGAATGCTGCGTGCACGGTAGGGTCTGCATTTCAGGTTTTTTGAATGGTGCCGAATATTCAAGGAGTTCCCGATTGATGAGAGAACAGTATCCTTCTTCAAGGCACAAAAGGACACAAAGGGGAAAATTGAAAGGAGAGACAGAGAGACACTGGAAGTCAAGTGGAAATCCGTGACCGAACGGCATGTTTTGTCAAGAAGCGAACCGGGGAGACACATGGGAGACAAAGGGAGTTAATTAAGAGTCCGGGTCTTTGTGGGAGTGCGTTTTTTGGTAAGTTTTATGTATTGAATAACGTAGTTCTGTTAATTAAAGGCCTGTGGAAAATCATGAAAGAAAAGAATGAAGAAAAAAAAAAACACACATGGGAGGCAAAAGGAGTCAACGGGACCAACAGCAATGTTGTTTGGGGAACACCTGCGAACACCCACTGCATCGGTCAATCCTGAGACCAACACCGCAATGGCTGAACTGTCAGAAATGGTTGAACTGCGTGATGCAATGGATCCTTGCATGTGAATTTATGTTCAAAGAAAATGCATCAGCAAATTCAGCAAACCCATCCCCTCCTTTCCACGGCAAAACAAAAGAAATTGGCATACCATTGCAGTTCAAGACCGATTCACAACTAAAATAAAAATGTTTTCCGTTTTGGGAACTGATTGGATTTTGTTCAAAAATTTCAAGTGTTGTTTGAACATCTACAAACACTGCTGCAATTGGATTACCGCGATCGGGAAAAATTATTCAGCTACCACGTCCAACAATGTATTCCATGTGGAATGCTCTTTTGAAGCTAACGGCTGAGGCATTCAATCACAAGGTTGCGTGAGTCAAAATCACACAAATACCAAAAAAATACAGCCAACACCCAAAAAAATGCGCCCAAACAAATTGAAAACCAACATAAATTCCAGGAGTTTTGCTTAGGTGTTTTTGTTTATATGTTTTGAAAAAAATATGTGCCAACAAAAAACCCCGAATCTGGCAAAATACGTCCATCTCAGCATCAAACGGGCTAATGCCTTTCCGTCATGTCATCCGAACTGCAAAGAATGCGTAAACTATATATTCAGCAGGCATGGGAGTTTTTTATTGTTTTCACAATACCGTTGTGATTTCCGTGCAAACATAGTAAATCTAATGAGTTTTGATGTTTTATTCTGCTCAAGAAAAATATCACAACACCGGCGAAATGACAACTGAAAAAATATTTTGCAAATTGGCAAACAACAAAGCAAAGAATGGGGTGTTGAGGCAAACACAAAAATTTGATTGACCAAAGTGTTTTTTGTTTCTGGATTGAAATATGGCTGTAGCAAAATGTGGACTTTTGTAGCAATCAAATCATGTCGCTTTGATTGGACCCTTCCTGCAAGGTTCGTCCTGATATTAAGAATTAAAATCTGAAAAATAGTGTGTACCAAACATTTTGCTTAATAAAATGCACGTAATGGATCCGTTTTTGTGACGTAAAGTGCAACCAATTTTAAGGCCATCCAAACCCCTTGACAAACACAAAATGGTTTGATGCGAAGCAGGCAGCGACTCTTTTTAAGCTCACTGTAACTGTCCTCCAAACTGCAGTCACACCTTTTTGACAGCATGGGGCATGGAATGCTGGTCGAAGCCAGGCTTGGGGTTCGGCCAAATTGTCACTGGCATGGGTGGCACAGTGGGTGGGCCAGTGAAAAATGACCAACAAAAAGAAACATGTTTCACATGTTGAAATCAAATGTCATGTTGCACATGCATTGACAAGTCTGAATCACTTGAACCAGTTTCTCGGACGTTCACAAAGTTCACTGCAGTTTCACTCGCTTAGCTCGCATTCTTTCAGATAGTTTCATTAAGCTCACTGTAACTGTCCTCCAAACTGCAATCACACCTTTTTGACAGCATGGGGCATGGAATGCTGGTCGAAGCCACCCCTCGTAGCTAACTCCAGTAGACCATTCCACATGCTGTCCAGGTCAATTGGAAATTGTTGCACACCTTTCGCAAGAAGCTGTTGCGTCTCTCCTCGCGATGGGTCATCGGCTATGTTGGACTCTGAAGGAACTCTGCTAAACCAAGCATTCCATCTCAAATCAAATTCAAGCTGGAGGAGCGCTACCAGGATCGGAGTAGCATTGTGGCTAGAAGTCTGACAGGCTATCAGCGAGTCCTTCACACCTTCATTATCTGTGCACACCACCACCTGTGAGTCTTGTAAGCACTTGGACCAGCATGTCATTGCAACAAAAATTGCAAGTAGTTCACATTCGAAAATGATGGTCTTCCGTTTGGTGATGTTGAGCTTGGCCAGCAAGTCCTCTGTGAGAAAAATCGAAAAGAAACCTTTGTATTTGCCCAACTGATCAAACTAACACAGCTCCAATTCCAGCTGTTCCTTCTGCGTCCTGCGGTTCATAGCATGCATCTGTAAAAACGTACCAGGTGCACCCAGTTGTCAAGGAGACCTCCCTTGGCACGTCCATCATGATCAGTCGATGAAAAAGTTTCAACGCATGGCGCGTCTCTTCAGAAATCGTTGGGCCACATTCTCCATACGCATGTTTCGTGATGAGTGCTAATGAGCGCTTGGCAATACGGCCGAAAATCTGACCGGCCACAAATTGTAACCTCCCCCTCAGCCTCAATGCATCAGGCCTGATCAAGGTACGTGTATCAAGAATCTGGACTATGGCGGCCGCAATCTCAGACTTCCGGTTTTCAGTGTTGTCAATTCAGACGCAGCCGCTATGGAGGAGGATACATCAATCGTCACACCAAGGGCTGCAACAACGCTGGCAAACGGTGGTGCTTTGTCTCCGGTCTCAGCGAAGATCCACCCCAGCATCTTGAACGTCAATGTCACAGCTGTGGTGACCGATGTTGTTTCACATGAAGTGGCCAGAGCGACAAAATCATCGAAATAATTTGAAACGAAAACTCCAAAAATTGAGACCAGAATTGCCCACAGGCTGTGGGATATCCTCAAGAAAGAGTGATCGGGGTGGATAGCGCACTGCCTGTACGCCCTTTTCAGGTCGAAGCTCCTTTCTTCCCAAGTAGAATTTCCCATTTGCTACCTTCATCAAGGCCAGGCACATGCTGCATAAAATGTCGACTGTATGTGGCTTCGGCGACTCACATGTCTGAGCGCAGGCATTGATGGATGATTGAGTGAACTCATCCACGCATCTCACCTTCGATGATTGCTTGATGCCGAATCGCTTGCTCAATGGATATTCCTGAGGTACTTGCTCAACATGATATGGGCCGGAGAGCTCTCCAGCTTCAACCTCATCCAAAGTCTGATTCCAAACTGCGTTCAATGTATCTTCATCCATAAATTCAAAAGATTTGTAGGTCAATACTAATCGCTGCGAAGTTGAAATGGTAGGCGACCCGATGGCTCAGTTGGTATGGCGTTGGTCTTGCCAGCGCTGACAGACTGCCGGTGGTGGTTCGAATCCCTGCTGGTCCACTCGGGAGTCTCAAGTGCGACCCGCCGAAAGGCAACGGGCGCCGACCACAAAAAAAGCTGCGAAGTTGAAATGGTGGACAAGTCACTTTCAGTAAGTGAAGCCGGTTTGAATTTCTTCGGCCATAAACCTGTGGACTGGCTTCGCCCACCAGCTTTGTCCACTCGCAAACTCGTTCACGACCTCCATGTCCTCGTCTACCCTGTTGCAACTCCTCTGGTCTCATAGGTGTCCAGCAGGGATTGCAACCGTGGTGAATAAATTCTTGCCATGTCCATCGGATGGCCAGCTTTGACCTCTACAAATTTTTCAGCTTCCACGGCACCCCCCAATCACGCACGAAGAATCCAGCGTGGGGGTGCCCACTTTGAAAATCTCCGGTAGGGCAAGCATCTCATCCCCGTAACCAGGTTGTCTACGGAGGGGCTGA